AAGTCGTACATTATCAACACAGAATACCACGTCACTCGTCGACTTTTTATATTTTTGTGCTTATAGATCATGGCTACAAAACATTTCTCATGCCAAGCTTAGTTTTTAAAATTTAAAGATGAAAGTGATAACGCCTGAATTATTGTGCTCTATGGAATAGATTGATTTACATATTCTTTGACACAATCAGCAGTGGGTTCAAAAGTAGCCGACAGTCGGCTAAAACCTGCTGATGTAATTTGGAGAAAATTTAAATTTAGTTTAAAAAAAGCTATGTGGCCAAAGGAAAGACAAGCCTGTTTCTAAGGGACATAACTCTCGTACATATATCATCAGAGACGTTCTATGCAATGGACACTACAAATACATTACTATATTATATTGTAATCAAGTCTATTTTTATCTTACGCAAAGCGGAAAATGTACAGGAAGGTCTATCGCATCTTTTTCTTACTTCGTTAAGACCTGTCTTAAATCTTCCAACAGTCTGACAGCTCATTTTACGACTCAATATTCGCGAATTTGAAAATATGTATTCATAGCGCTGGCTGCAATAACCTAGGCTACATCACCTATAAAAATGTGATGAAGATACTTTCCACATAAAATGCCTTCAATCACAGTTAAATGAATCAGTTGACAGCAACACTGTTGTTACAATAAATTTACAACGTATTCGATATATATGTACATAATTTTCTTTTTATATTTTCAGACTCTAGAAATCCTGTGAACATCTCAAATCAATCTTCACCCGTCTACTATAACACAACTTCCGGAGTCGCAATAGATGAATCTCAACAATAATAAACCAATTGAAGCTAACGTACACAAGATATTGAAAACTACACCGCCACTGATCATATGTTTCAATTCCACTTGAATCTAAAGACACTTACCTAAGTGTGTGGATATCGTCAATGTCGGGAACCCCCTTTTTTGTTATTGTTTCAACACACCCCTTTCTTGAGACTGACACAGCCAGTATTGTATATTTTGTATATTTATTACTATATCTCTTCTAACAATACATGGTAATGTTGTGTACATTTATTATTAGGGATTTTCAATCGTTTTCTTTCTATTAGCCCTTTCAGGATACTTGATCGATTGCATTATAAATCCTTACTATTACCTCCCTTCTCCTATAAATCCTTACTATTACCTCCCTTCCCCCTATAAATCCTTACTATTACCTCCCTTCCCCTATAAATCCTTACTATTACCTCCCCTCCCCTATAAATCCTTACTATTACCTCCCTTCCCCTATAAATCCTTACTATTACCTCCCTTCTCCTATAAATCCTTACTATTACCTCCCTCCCCCCTATAAATCCTTACTATTACCTCCCTTCCCCTATAAATCCTTACTATTACCTCCCTTCCCCTATAAATCCTTACTATTGAAAACCCCTGACCTATATCATAATCTAAAACTGAATTCAATGGTGAAACATTTTCAAAAATCAGATTGTTGTTCGTTAATACGAGGATTGCTGGGACATCAAAACT